AGAGCTCTCCCTTGAAAATATTACTCTCCTTCATTTTAGTTTCTTGGAGTGGGGTGAGACTGAGTCAACTTGATACGTCGCTCACTAACTGGCGTACTGAGGTCGCAGTGCTAGGGTCAGTTCTATGGCTCACCCCTCACACTCATACTCATACAACTGGCCTATTGTACCAGCCCCGGATGATAGATGATGAGTGTGGAGCAGTCGGTGCAATGAGAAATGGCAGGGGAAACTGAAGTACTCGGAGAAAACCTGCCTCAGCGCCATTTTGTCCACTATAAATCCCACATGACTCAACCTTGGCTCTAACCCGGGCCGCCGCGGTGAGAAGCCTGAGACTAACCCACTGAACAATGGCACGGTCTTTACTCATCCTAGTCGCTGCCGTGACATTTCACAGTGATGATCTTGATGATTCAGTGTACGCCGAGTAGATGCGGCAAATTCTCCGACTCTTTCGTAAGTTAAGGTTGCCTAAACGATCGTCATCAGGCGTTATAGAAGCTTTCTCTGTGTGCACTGCAAATCGAGCTATACAGACGGAAAGTAATATCCATTTTAACTAAATATTGCTACATAAACTCTTATGTTAACTCAAGTGAAAAAGCAAACACTGAAAACAGCCACGGTCAAGAGTAATTAATTAGAGACGATATTAATTAATTCAGACTAAAACGACGGAGTTTTGCTTTTGTTTTTTGAGTGTTACTGGGATATACTGGTGTATGTATATCTATTTCTTTTCGATTTCTTTCGTGCCAATACTAATTAAGGAAATAAATACATTATGAATACCCCTAAATATTGATTTAAAATAAAAATATTTTGAAAAAGTTACAAGCTTAAGAAAGAAGGTACAATATAAGCATAAACCTTCAAGAAAATATCATACACGTGCGCTAAGTGTGGACTATCCGAACTGCAGTTCACGCCCCTACTTCCTGTATGCATTGCAACGCGTTGCATCTACCCAGCAGGCGAACGTCATGAGTAAACGAAACACAACTCCTTATTTACACAATGAAGAGTGAGAATGTATGTTCTTGTATCCATCGATTCACCTACAATATGTCCACGACAGCTGATAATAAAAATGTAATAGCTGAAGTATTATTATGTTGCACAATAATCAAAATTCTCATTACAATATTTATTTATATTTTTGTTACGCTGCAGGAACATTTCATCATTGACGTAATGTTTAAAAAGGGGTCATCACCTTCCAAGACCATATAATGTGAATACTGAAAATATAACAGTTGTCTGAATGGGGCGACAAAGAAACTTCCGTTGTGTCCCAAATTCGTCTAAATCAGTACATCACAACTGGTGGATTGGTGTTGCATTTTAAAATAAAATAATATGTAAAATCTGTGTTAAAGAAATTAGACAAATTAGAGTGTACCTATGATTTCACTATTATATTGTGACATATCAACGCATTGCCAGGCAACGGCTCGATAAACATCCCACGATACGCGCAAGCAACAGTAGGACGAATGTTTGTAGCTTGTTGCAAGGCGACAGTCAGCGCGCAAATGGACAGGCGAGATAGTTATCACGTGATTTGTTTTCTGTGTGGTGTACGCTATGCAATAATATAACTGTGTTTTCTGTGCGTGGTCCGTGCTGAGAGCATATGAGAGAATACGAGAATGGGAATTGACTCAGAGGCCTTGTATATATTGTACATAGGAATAGGAATTAAGTTTAAATTGTAAATATATGTAAATACTGACAATGGACTTACTAACACAGACTATGACTGAAAAATGACAGACCCGACCACTCGTCAGAGAGGGCGCCCCAAATGAACAGGACAGTAGCTTTCATATAAAGAAAAAAAAATCTGGTCATGAGCCCCAGTCGGGGCTCGACACCAAGACAGACAGACAGACTGACTGACCGTCAGTCGCAATGTAACTTTGACTTTGACTTTGGAATTGACTTCACTTGAGTTCCGAAGTTCCAAGGGAACAGCAGTGTAGCCAGAAGAAGAATTAGGGGACATAGTGTGTGATGTTACATGTGCTGTAATTACAGCAATCTTGAGAGTGTAAGAACTAATTGTAGTTTCGAGTAGTAAAGATCCAATAAACCTACTGACCAATCCAACCCCGCGTCTTAGTCACTGTGGCACGTGATAATATATATATATATATAAAACACGTACACACACAAACACAAGCAGTTCTGGGAAAACTAATCGCCTACTTTCGTTTCGTACAACACGAACCGTATAGAAAAAGACACGTCCAACAATTTTTTTTCTGCGAAAACACTCATACCGAGCATTTGCCTAGCAACGAGAGGAGGGACACACATAGACACACAGACTGATGGGAAGGATCTAAGAAGTACACCGCTGAGATGGGCTCAGGTGGCATGATTGTACGAGTATATACGTATATCAAGTCACAAACGTTGGTTCAGACAAAAAGTTATTAGGAAGGAATTCACAGTCACACAGAAATAGCATAAGCCTTCTTTAATTATTTTTCAAAATAAGGAAAGAAGCTAATAAAGAAATCATGAATAGCACATTATCTTGTTAAGCCTAAATCTGCAAGCAGTCCACTCACTCAGTTCTGTAAGCGTGTTGCAACTCTTCCCGCTACTGTTGCTTATTTAATGACGATGTTCCATTGATGAGATTACAGCTGACAGTGAGACAGTAAATCTATTCGCTATAAAATGTATGAAGGATCTGAAAGTAGGTGGCCATAACCCATTTTAGTTTACTATCCCAACATTCACGTGACATTAATAGGAAAGAAAAAACTGATTCATGGGGATCAAGAATATGCGGTTGGAACCGGCTGCACTGAAGCGTTGTCGTCACACAAATCTACTGTCATTAGAATTGTTAAAACACAGCAAAGAAGAAGCACGCTTCTTTTTGTGGTAATAATGCTTATTGAGGTCAATGTTCCATTTCAGCGCCTACCTCATCCGTCCTTATGGCTGCAGTAACTCTATGGTTGTCAAGTTTCCCCCTAAATGACTGCATAAATTACCAGCCATAAACACAGCTGTAAGTTCCCGCAGTTCTTGTGAATACAGACGAATGTTCTGTGGAGGCCATTGTCACTGTGCTTCCAAGTACATATATTAAGAATCTCGACTCAACTGTACGTGATTCGAGTTCTAAATCATCGTGGATCGAATCCTGTCTGTGTCTGAGTATCAGACAGATTTCATCAATGAATATAACATTAGTGTGGGACGGAATAAACTTATCTTTAAGGCTTAAGAGAACGACCGCCTCTGTGGTCTAGTGGTCAGAGTTCCTGGCTACAGATCCAGATGTCCCGGGTTCGATTCCCTGCGCTACCAGATGTTCTGAGAAGTAGTGGGTCTGGAATGGGGTTCACTCAGCCTCGTGAGGATAATTGAGGAGCTATTTCAAGAAAACAGCGGCCCCGGTCTAGAAAATTAAGATTAACGGTCGTGGGGATCCGTTACGCTGAACACGCGACACTCTCTATCCGCTAAAGTTGGCACTAAATTCGCTGATATACGGCGGTTGCTCGGTTGGTATATTTCGCTTGCGGAATAAAACCACGGATCATGGAAAGTTAAACAGTTCCGTCTAGTGTGACTGGTGAAGATTTTTCTTATTTCAATTATTTATGCCCTTACATGTTTCGGTCTTCAGAGACCATCATCAGAGGGACACCTTTACATCAATACAGTTGGAAGCTACTATTACAATTGAACGTTAAAATGTATACATATATATAATATATACATGTAATATTAATAATATACAATTGGGTATAAAATTTAAAGTTTTTACAACTACAGCGGCTGTTTCAATACATTAAAATATTTATAATTGGTTTGTTAAGATTTTATTGGAATTTATAAACCAAGTGGGTTCGTGTCATCTTTTTTATTATTTCCCTTGACGGGGGCCCAACGGCTCACATACAAAATAACATAGTAGTATAATTCTGAACAGTTTTATCTTTAAATAAACTCCAAAGGGTTCTGGCGATGGTGTAAAACGCTCAGAATTGCTGGGCTTCTAGACTTCTTACATCCTCCGGTGTTCTAGAAAATAGGAAACACGATATTTCGGAAATTGGATCTGTTTCCGTCATCAGGTGAGTGGGGGAGAAGACACTTATTCAGTTGTGTCCCCTAGAAAGACCTAACCTCAATGACTTGAAACCCCTTGTCAGATTCACACAGCTATTTAATCACCTGAGACGAGGCTAATTTGGCAGGAGATATAAGGAAATGTGCAATAAAAATTTCTATTGTTCAAGTTTCTAGAATACCGGACGATGGAAAATTCTAAACACACGGTAATTCTAAGTTTTATCTCAAGTTTTTTTTTACAAATTAATAGGAGACGGTAAGACAAGATATTTGCCTGTTAAAAACTATATACGGGGTTAGGATTGATAACTGGATTTATTGATCGCTTATAACTCGTGACTATAAATAATAGTAACACTTTCACTACACTACACACCCTACAAAACACTACAACACTAAATTTTCTAAGTCTGCTACATTGTCACTAGTAGCTGATCAAGAATCTAACCACTGACTCCAGCATCCGACCTCCGACTGACTCCCGACTGCTGATGCTAAATTACTGCTGGCCTTCGCCAGCGCAGTGATTCTTTGTTGCTATTTCCACAGCACTCATGACCATATTTTTACTCTTTCACTGCTCTGGGTTAGGTTGGTGTGCTCGGTACATAATTTCGGCGCGGACCGCACAGAAAACACCGCATCTAAAAATTTTTTATTGTTAAAAGGCGTGTTAAGTTGGTTGTTGCCCAGCGATGGCTTGAGTATTGCTGACGTGGAAGCGTGTTTCTTTTGCTGTGGAAACGTACTTACCGGTCGTTGCATAGCAATGGACGGCATTTCTGGGGCAGCTATTATGGCTTTCAGCCGTTATGTCACAATATACCGAACTGAGAGCTGCTACTGATACAATGGACACATGCATACTGCCAAAGCGGAACAAATTAACTCACATATGATATCATCGGTAGGTTCCATGCGGCAGCAACAAGAGCTTCTGAGCGACAGGTGTCATCAGGCCCGATGAAGGCTACTGTACCATTATCTCTCATCTCAGTCATCACTCGGATCGCCAGAGTCGCCAGAGATGACTGGCGACTAGGATGGGTGCCGATATCTGCCGCCAGGTACTGCAACCGCCTCCCTGTGAAAATCATAAACATATTGAAGAATGCCGTCTTCTGCGATGTGATGTTGTGTATCTTGTGTGAACCGACGTTTCGGAAGTAAGTATCGCCTCCATCTTCAGGGTAGAAAAATCTGCAAGGGAGGAACCAGGGTGAGCAGGTGGTTGCTGACATATTTGTTCTATGTTCAAGCAATAGAGATCTATGTATCTAATGTAATGTAAAGGTAAGGGTTTTCCCACAGCGGAGGCCCGGGTTCGATCCCGGGTCTGGTCAAGTGGGATTTGTGGTGGACAAAGTGGCGCTAGGGTAGATTTTCTGCGAGTACTTCGGTTTCCCCTGCCAATCTTCATTCCACCAACTGCTCCACAATCACCCTCACCTATCATCTGGGGCTGGTACAATAGGCCAGAAGTGGCCGCAGTACAAGGGACTTAGTCCCACCCCACTAGCAATAAAAAGAGGTAAGCGTAATTTGTCACTCTGCTTAATTAATTAAGCACCACATCATAAAGACGTATGGGGGTCGAAGTGTAGTTCCCTCATTCCTGACTCTGCCGCTACATGGAGCTCAGTGGTCAGTTTTATGCCCCGGTCATTTTACCTTCGGGGTAAGAACCTCGCCTATTCATTGGATAGGAGCCTGGGAGGGACTTATAGCTAATCTGGACGGTGTGAGAAAAGAAAATTCTCTTGCCCCTACCGGGAATCAAATACCGGCCGCCAAGCCCTTGGCCCGTCGCTATACCGACTGAGCTTTGCCAGCTCCTGTGACATAATGGTTTCTACTCATACCCTTGTGTAACTGTCTTTGTAATTACGCGCCTGTACTAGTATTACGGTGGCCGCGCGGTCTAAGGCACGAACTGTTTTCGGTAGCTTGAGCGCTGGGTTCGTGGGTTCGGATGGATGTGCATCCGTTTATTCTATATTTGTGTTGTCCTGTGTGTAGGTAGCGGCCTTGCGACGGGCTGATCCTCCATCCAAGGAGTCCTACCGACTATGTAAAAAATTACGAAACTGAAGAATAGGCCATGGTCCAACATGCCATTGATGAATGAATGAATGAATGAATGAATGAACGAAACTTCATTATGCACATTCATTTCTTACGACTTATGATGATGAAAACTCGAAAGCGTCGTCAGAGAGGGCGTCCCACATCACCAAACCCGCAACTGTCTGTCATAGAAAACTGATCTTGGGCCTCAGATGGGTACTCTACACCAAGACAGACTGACCGACTGACCGTCAGTCGTAACATAACATGGACTTTGCCTTGAGTTAGTCAATCAGTTTTAGAATTGCTAAGGTTCAGTTATTGCCAGCTGTTGCTCTTAGAACTTGGTAGTTGGTGCTGGGTACAGTTCGAGAACCCTGAGTAAGGTGGACATCCACCGTTGGTAGCCGCTACCAAGCAACGACAGTGAGAAGTGACTGTGGACACTATTGTGTGTTAAATATTGAACTGCAAAGGGTAGTCACGCGCTGTAAAAAGTGTCCGATAAATCAGATTACCAATCCAAACTCCAATTATAGGCACGCTCCATCACGTGACAGTAAGATTCAGCTGCAGGATTTATAGAGAGAACTGCCTCAAGAGGTGGCTGCAATATCGACTGTCGTGAATGAGGTTTTCATTATTTTCCACAGTCCACCAAGACAAATTCCGGGACAGTTCCCGTAATTAGGCCACGACTAGGCCCATATAGTCTCATGCTTTCCAATTCAGTATCCACTTACTATCCTAACACCAGACGCTGTCAAGTCTGAGATACTGAGACAGTTATTAAATTAGCACTAAATGAATGAAACAGTAGAATATAGCATTGCATGAGAAGAGAGAATTATTATCTGTCGTTAAACGTAAAGGATTTATGAGGAAGTGGTCGTGACCTCATTCAAAGACTGAAAAATAACAATAGACCGCGAGACACAACAGAGAGGCGAACCGGACACAAGAGAATCGCCATGACACACAGCTAACGTGTTGGCTGGGGAGCATGCGCCGTGGAAAAACAGCAGTATATGTCAACACATACAGTAATATTAACATCAAATGAAGGCTGGGAGTGTAGCACGAACCAGAAGGAACAACATGATCTCGTTTTCAGAAATTGAGGGGCTTTGTTTCAAAGTCAGCTTCATAAAATTAAGAATAAAAGGATGAAGAGAACTTCCGGAAGCAAGGCAGAGAGATAAAATGGCGTCTGCAGTAAATTACTTCACGGGAACTTCTAAATTCTGTTCTTCACCAAATATAATTAGGTGATCAAATCAAAGAAAATGAGATGGGAGGGGAACGTAGCACGTTTGTAACATGATAATTGCCTATAAAATATTAGTCAGAATATCTTAACAAAACAGATAATATTAAAGTGGATCTTGATAGGTTGTGTTGTTGACTTGATAGGTACAACTGGCTCCAGATATGATGCAGTATGGGGCTTTTATGAAGAGTGTACTTAACCATAAGACTTAACGCATTACAGAACTCGACATAAGATTGGTCAGCACAAAGATCTGCCCGCTTTATCTAAGAGAAAGAGTCCTCGGTAACAACACAGTAGGACACTGGATAACCTGTATATGCGAGATTCTGATTGAGCTGTGTTGCTCTACATGAGCACGTAAATTATCCTGAAATTTAGCCTCATTTTCTGTGGTGAGTAGCTGTGAGTCAATGACAAGACCTGTCGGAAAGCAGTCCAGCTGTATCTTCATTCATTTCATTCATTATTAGAGGGGGTGGGTTTCCCCATGCACTTAGACCAGTTATTGGTCCATTGTGCACCCCCCTTTAATTTCTACTGTCTCCATCCCCTACCGGTACTGCTCGTTATCAGCCCCTTTCTGTCAGCGAGGTCGGTCCTCATCTGGCAGTGGTACCTAATACTTTCCCCATCTACCAGAGGCATTTGAAACTACTTGGGCGGGAAAATTTGCCTAATTTAGCTCAGAGTTCTCCTAGAGACATGAGGTTCTTTTACGTGCCGTAAAGCTACGACACGGGACCCACGGCTTAAAGTCCCTCCCGGAGGACTTGTTCGCTGAATTTTTTCCGCCCTTAAAAATTCCAAGACTCCGCCGGGTTTGAACCCACGTACCTTGAGTCATGAGGTGGGAACGTTACCCCTAGACTACGAAGGCCGCTCCAGCTGTATCTTCATCGGCACTCTTCTAAAACTAACTATTCATATGCAGAAATATTCAAACCTCATGTGATGTACAGTTTATTCTTTCATTTAACGCAGTAGACATTCCGTAGGTTTCCACATCAACTTACTAAACGATCTTCAATGGATAAGTGTTTTCAAATGAAAAGATTTTATTCTTGCTTTCTACCCGACGTACACTCTTCTGCAACTTGTTTCAGCCTCACAAGACCATCCTCAGGCGTAGTTACTCTTACTCAAATTGTTGCATCGCCATTTAAATCTAATGGCGTTTGGAACGTGTTGTTATTTTCAATAAAAATCCTCTAAAATCCATAAAATATTGTTACCTGTTGATTGCGAGTAACGCGCATTGCCAACTGTGTGTGATATTTATAATATGTAATAATTGTATATTATTATTATGTATTATATATTAACTGTTGATATTTTATTGTAGGGTAGGGCATGCAGCACGAATGGGGAGATGAGAAATGCATATAGGATATTGGCGGAGAAGACCAAGGCATATGTGGGTGAACAATATTAAAATGGATCTCAGAGAAATAGGATGTAATGGATTGGATTGATCTGGCTCAGAATGGGGACCGTTGGATGGCTCTTGTGAACACGGTAATGAACATTCAGGTTCCATAAAATACTGTGAAGTTCTTGAGTAGCTGCGCAATTGGCAGCTTCTCAAGAAGGGCTCAGCTCCATGAGTGAGACTCAGGTAAACTGTACCAACTTCGTCACTTGAACAATAAATACTTTTATTAGAAACAGCATGTAATATCTCTTCTTATCAACAATTTGGGAACTGTACAGTAAAATATCTCTGTCTCGGAAACCGTTCGGAATAGGACACATATAACTATATAAATTTTGCTTTGAATGATCGATACTATGGCCTCCCAGAATATTGACCTTTCTCCTGGGACACTCTGTATAACTGATAAACGATGACATATAAAACAATACTAAATATTTGATAGGACTACTTCAATGTGGAATCGACTAATTACAAAGACTAAACCTATTATTACAGTACTTCACAAACAAAACGTGAAGCACATACATTTTTTTTTCCTTGGCACTACAGCCCCAGTGGGCCTAGGCCTACCTCCATGAACTTCTCCGTTCACTTCGGTTTTTCTAGATCTTACACATTCGGTAGGACTCCTTGGGCGGGTGATCAGCTCGTCGCAAGGCCTCTACCTGTAGACAAACACAGATAAACGCACACAAACATCCATGCCCTGAGTGGGATTCGAACCCACGATCTCGGCTTCCGAGCGAGCGAAGACAGTGCATGCCTTAGACCGCTCGGCTACCGTGACCGGCTGAAGCACATACATACTTTACCAAAATAAGTCTCAAAATCACGGCCCTAATTCACGAGTCAGATCATGTGATCAGGGGGGTCGGTCATCATAATTTTATACAGCAACATATTCGTTTCTGAAAGCGACTGCAGGCTTTGTTCCTCGTTGAGCTTTCGAAGTTTGTAATCCTAGGGTAAATTGGACGATCAAATATAGCCTGCCCACTTCTCAGAGAAATTACGTGCAGTGTATAATAGGTTGAATTTTCCCAGAACACAGTTCAGTATGGAGTTTCCTTCCTTTTTTAAAACATAGACATTAAAAATCTACAACGTCAGGAAGATTAGAGTTTAAGCCCTGAGAAATAATCTCCAAGGTTGAACATAAGTAGCAAAATCCGGGGTGAAAAGCCCCAGAGAGTGGTGATGAAAAAGTTCTTGGAATTATACAGTGTAAAAATTAAATTAATGTAAATATAAATTATTGCAATGTACATTACGATAAACTACCTTCGTGTTCGTTTTG